ATTTCAAAGAGAGAACAAGAGGAAAAGAAGTAACCAGACAAAGTTCTCAAAAGTTCTTTTTTGTTATGTAAACTTGAGTTTTTCTGGCGTATATAATAAAATAATAATTATATCTATTAGGTATAAGCAATAGGTATAATAATTGTTTGAATTGTTTTTAAACTAATTTCTTTCTTTTATTCAGAAAAATTATCTAAATCTCTTAGTTTAGATCAGTGTTTCTCAACCTTGACAATTTTAAGGCATGTGGACTTCAACTCCCAGAATTCCACAGCCAGCAATACTGGCTGTGGAATTCTGGGAGTTGAAGTCCACATGCCTTAAAATTGTCAAGGTTGAGAAACACTGGTTTAGATCTTGCTGAAAAAAATTGCATATATTCAGCCCACCAGAGTGGGAAGGCAAAGTATGTTGCAAGAGCCATCTATTAGGGATGCACATCTGGTGGAACAAGAAATAGGACCTTCTCTGTAGTGGCTCCCCTCCCCCTTTGGAATACTATTTCCCAGAAGATAAGATTGGTCCCCACCATTCCTTTTTCTGGAAAGCCCTGAAGACATGGTTTGTCAGTGGGCCTGGGACCTCCAGGTGATCTGCAGCCAATCAAGTGGCTAGTGTAGGAGGGAGACTGGCAGAGCCAGGGGGAGGAGTTAAATGAGGGATCATAGCCACAAGAGAATGAAGTTCAACCTCCCCTTGGATATCATCGACCCTTATCTGATTTTGTCCAGATGCAAACCATTAGCCGAAAAGATTCTGGTGCATAGGCTTTAGCAATAAACTAATAATTTAAAACCTTTGTGTGTGGATCTGGTTTTTCATGCCTGACAGTTGATGTGATTGTATGATTGTCATGCCAGGGATTGGAGGGTCTACATGGATTCTTACATTGTGAATGTTTAATGTTAGCCATTCAGAGTCGCTGTACATGAGTTGGGCAGCCATATAAAGTTATTTTATTGTTGGTTAGAGGAAAGAATGAAGGATTAGGAATCGAACATGTATTAGCATAGCTAACCCCAGACAGCTTGTTGATTGGAAAATTAATATACTGTATGTATGCAAAAGAAAATCAATAAAATTTCTATAAAAAAATAAAGTTGTTCAATAAATAAACAAATACATATGTTGCATGTAAACAGTCATTCATGTTTGATTAAACTTCTTTTGTAAATATATACAGTCAATTTCTCCATTGCCATATATTCTCCATTTTTAATCTCCCAGTTTTGTATCGTTGGCCAGGTTTCTTTTTTCCAATATTATGTCAAGTAAATATTTGTCACTATCAGCATACATTTCAATAAATTGTGGCACTATTAATTTTTACTCTGGAATCATTACTATTAAAAACATTTGTGCTTTTAATTCAGATTTTATTTTCAAAACTCCCAGAACTTTTGATGTGTTTCTTTTTCTTTTCTTTTTCTTTTTCGCTTCAACACTTTGTTAGAGTAATGCTAGAAGAATTTTGAATCAGTTCACTGTTTCTGTTTATAACAATTACAAATTTCAGTTTGTAACATTTTTTCCAAAGAGGGCCAGGAAGGTGACTAAAGACATCTATTTATAGGAAAACTGGGGGAAAAGCCCAGAGAGTGATGTGAGAAAGGGATTGGATTTTCATTTAATTCTTAACATTGTATGCTACCTCAGTCACAGAAGTATAGAATTTTTTTTAACAGATAAAAGTATAGTTGAACTAAGGAGAAAGCGGGTGGACATGACAAGGAATTTTATTATCTCCTTAGCAGCCTCTGATTAAGGTAGATCTCCCAGAAAACTGGAGAAAGTCTAGATCAAGGGTGTCAAACTGCCGGCCCACGGGCCGGATGCATCATAATGAACCCACGCCCACCCCATTGCCGGCAATGGCAAAAACGTTGCGATACATCATGTGAGTTTGACACCCCTGGTCTAGACAAATGGAGCAGAGTAATTTTCTTTCAGAAAAAAATTAACTCTGTAGAAATGATAAAAATCTATTTATAATTTTGCATTAGATCTTGATTGATTTTTCGGTGTGGTGCTAATTAAGCTTTATTACGGTAACTCTTGTTCTTATTTACAAATTAAGATATTAAACTTGTAACTCAGCTTTGCTTTCCAGCCTTTAAGCTGAACTTAAAAACCACTCCTCTGCTTATAATTTTCTTGATATGCCATCACTTCAGGATAAAAACATTGATAGCATAGCAACAGCATCTTGTGGTCTACCTGGATCCCTGCATATATATTTTTGTATTTCTTTTTAAAAAGTAGATTTCATATACCTTTTTTCAAAAGTAAAATTTGATTTTGTTTATGTCTTGTGAGATTGATTTATTTCTTCAGGGCTGGTTGAAAAGTTACAAACACCAAGCTAAACAGCCAGGAGGTTGCATTATAGTAATTCATTATAGTAATTCCAATTTTTTTACCTTCATTTTTACCTTTTAAAAACCGGAAAAATAAAGCAAATTGTAAGAGTCTGATCTCACACTGGGATTTGAGGGAAAATGCCGGATGATATGTCCCTGGATGGTACGTGATGCCAGCAGAATTAGTCAAGTCAGAATCCCCAGGCAAGAGACGAGGCTGGGGGCTTGTTGGAGAGTTAGTTTGAGATCTCCAGCCTTGTATACATGAGTTCAGCTGTTTTACTACAGTAAGATAAACATCTAGGAAATTAATTTATACAATTTTGGAAAGGCATTGACATTCAAGATGTCAAGCTCTCAAATAATTATACTTTAGCAAAGATTCAGACAGTTTGCACAATTGTTTTTTTTTTCTATTTTGAACAATCAGTGTTGCTCTGAAATTTGCTCATTTTCAAGCCCTGATTAAAAATAATGTCAACAAACATTTTCATTCTTATATGATAACATTTGAAAGTGTTTGAAAATGTGTTGAGCTTTACAGTATTTCTTGATAGGCATTTGTGAGAACTTTGCAGATGTTAGCTTCGTTGGCTGTCTTCCTTTGAATGTTTGACAAATTCAAATGAATTCAGTATTCCAGCATAACAGACAGCTAGTGGGTTTGTTTAGCTAGCATGGTTTTTTTTTTCTTCCCTCCCTCTAAATACTACTTCAAGGATAATTTATGAATGCTTAAGCTTATTCTGCCATTAGTGTGTAATATATTTTGTTTACAATTTTATTATTTAACCTTTGGTCGGAAACTTAACAGTTAATTTTGAAAAAAGTCTTTCAAATACCAGCTTCGCAAGCACATTTAGCAATGTCTCCCCCCCTTTCAAATTACAGATCCCATCTGTAATAATTTATTTGTACTAAGAAGAACTGTATTAGTTTTAACAACATTTCTATTCCCTTAAAGACAAGAAAGTTTGTGGGCTTCTAGTCTACTGACAAAACTTGGTTATTTTCCCCAAAAAATTTAAAATGCTACTTTTCTGCTTAACAGATGTGCGGGTTGGTACTATTTAATGAATAAGGCAAATAAATGAACATTCTGAGGTTTTTAAATTCTTTTAAGAAAGACACGATTATTTAGTATATTTGTTTTCCATTAATTCAGCAATAGGATATTAATATACTTTAAAATTCCTCAGTGACTTATCTAAAACTATAGGAATGAGAGATTGCTATCCTAGGAATATGTATTGCTCACTAATATCAGTTTGATCCATTGAAAATCAAGGTTATAGAATCAAGTAGGTATTCAGCATCTAAAGTAACCACATTAGTTAGCCTTTCCAGTTGTAGCAACTTGCTGTTTTTATCATCTTTCTTCTCCACCTCAGGAAAGGCGTACTATCCTGGATGGACCAATGGACCAATAATTTGTTGTAAGACAGTTTCACATGAATTATTGTAATGATATAAGCCACTTTCAACTTCTCGGCAATAATAACTGAGATCAGAGTTCTAATATACTCACAGAAACTTCCTCGGGCATGTACTATTGTTGTTCCTCCACTGACTTTTGATAGATTTAAAAAAAAATTAATTTTTTTAATGGATTACTGGGCAGAATTCCGACCTCCTGCATTATCTTTATTTTTATTAAAGCCTTTAGATACCAAATGGACCTGACTTGCTTTGTTTAAAAATAAAAATTATACTATCCAGTGCTTTGTTTTTCCCATCTGTCCAGAAAAAGTATAAAAGTATATAGTAAAAGTATATCTTGTATCAGGGAGTAGGACTAGAGATGGTAGTAACTAGCATTTTGTTAGTGCCCCCCCCATCTGAAAATAGTTGTGGTGAGCAGCTAGAAACTGAGAGACTAAATTTTAGTCCCATTCTACGGACAAAGCCAACTAGATAACTTTGGGTTACTCATCTATCTCAACCCTAAGAAGCAGGCAATGGCAAACCACTTCTGAAATCTTGCCAAGAAAACTGCCTTCTTGCTATGTGACCAGCCCATTACCGTTTTTTTTTTTACTCTCTTGATGATACTGTATACTTTTGTATGTTCTCTAATTTCATTTGTTTTCTTAATATATTTTGAAATTGGCAGTCATTTCTGTTTTATTTTCACATGTCTTCATTTATGCTTATTTTAATTTAATTTTAGTTTTTTGTTTAATTCTTGATATTACTATTGATGTTACGTTTTAAGTTTAATTCTATTTTGGTTATTATTTACTGTTTATATGCTTTATAACTTGCAGAAAAAGATACAATTGAAATATAAACACTAGCGCACATAAACTGATTTTTCGAAAGCTACCTGTTTCTTTCTCTTTTTCCTTGTATATGAGTGCAGGAAAGAGCTCTGTTCAATTTCACTGGAAAGTAACCATTAACAGTTCATCATTGAAAGTGAGTGTTTTTTCCAGAGTAGTTAAAGTTTGCGTGACATGTTAGCACTGATTAAAAATCAATTTCCCAATAGAAACATCAAGCAGTTGTTGGCGAATCCCATCATAACAAAGTCAAAATCCTTTTGATACAAAATCTGTAAGAAAAAAGCAAACATGATATCAGAAATAATGCCAAATAAAATGACAACTATTAAAATATTTTATTTTAAATTTGATTTAGAGAAGCAGACCGAGTCCCGAAGACATTTCATCAAGAAGAAAAAATGTGAAGCGGGATCATTTAACAAGTGAAACCAGCAGGCCTCCTCTCCTTTATATTACACATCCTGTACGCCAGAAGCAGAAGGAGGTTCACCGGATAGGCTCAATTACCTTCCTGGTTGGAAAGACACCTAGAAAAATCCGCAGGTGAGATTACTATGTTGGATTGTAAAGTTTTAAGTGACCTCAGGCTGAGACCTGTTTAAATTTAAGAGTTTATTCTTTCAAGTTTTATTTGGAATTATTACTTATTATATTTTGTAAAACTGTTTAAAATACTCATCATTACAATTTTGCAAATTAATACATGCACTGCCAGTAATTTATATCAGTTAATTTTTGGTGACCGTGCGTAATATGCAAATGCAGTTGAAATTATTCTGTCATAGTTTAATGTAACAAAATTTTGTCTTTACTGAATTCCTTCATTCCCTCACACATTGTTAATGATATGAATGTATGGCTATGGCATTGTTTAGTATCTCTTCTCCATTGGTAATAGTTGCAAAGTCTTCTACCAGTAGTATACAGAAAAAAAATCCAGAGATTGAGTTGAGTGAAAAGCCTGTGTTCTAACTGAGGAATCACAGTATAGATACTTAATCATAAGTATTTCTATTTGATTTAACTATTGGAAAGTGACTTGTGAGAGAAAGTTAGGAAATGAGACCCTTCTGTTTCATTTATGTTAACCTCATGTAGATTTGTAAGAAATATCTTATGATTAGATTAGATAACCTATATTGTCATTTTTTCCTGTGGGCACAACGGCACACATTAAAAATGAAATTTTGTTGCTTGCTCTCAAAGTGTACACATACATAACACACATTTAAAACATAATATACAACATATGTATACACCTACACCCTTACTTATAAGTAACATATAAATATTAATCACTGTCCATCTTGAATACATAATGGAAGTCTACATTGGCCAAGAGTGCCAGGTTTCATTTCAGAATCACTGCATTTTATTAGCCTGATCACTAACATCCTCTTTTCATGAGATGAATGATTCCTGAAAATCTCCAAAATGGTTAGGATAGAAAAAGAAGCAAAATGATAATTTAGGAATATTTTCTTTGATGTGGTCTCTGGAGATTTAGGTTAATGTCCTCCTACATGGGGTCTTTGTCATTTCAGAAATACAAATAAGGAGTTACCTTTAGAGGCTTTGTACTTTTCTTTAGCTTACCATATCCACAAAACTAGACTGATGCTAGTCTCCAAAACTGAGGGAGATGCTCTTGGACCAATTATATTTTAAAAACAATTTGATTTGTGCAAATTACGGCACAAATAATACTTTATTTACTATAAAATAAATATGGGACACAAATACTGCTAAATTTACTATAATTAATTTAGTAAAAGTAGAATTATTAAAGTTACAATCAGTATAAATAGTAATATAATAAAGATAGAAGGCAGATAGAAGGGAGAAAGACATGCTCTGTGAAACAAATTTCTTGTGGTTTGTGTTTGAAAAATTTGGCTTGTGTTTCCTTGGGGAAAGTTCCAGAGGTTCTCTTTACAGAAAGTTAGAGAGTTTTTTCATGTATCTTAGTAAGAAGAAAGATTGTATATTAAGAGATGGATAAATAAGTTTAAACAAATAGGTCTTGGTATTTTTGTTCAGATTGTAGACTCCAATGATACGATACATATTTTTATATTTTCTTTAAAAAAAATCCCCATTTCTTCACAGTTCTTGTTTGAAAACTTTTTAAAGTTTTGAAATAGGAAAGAAAACTTTTCCCCTTCATCTTTTGGACAATCGCAGATCCCAAAAAAATCATTATTTTTCAGGGGTTGAAGATTTCCGTTCATCATAAGAAAGTTATTTTCAAAAATTCCGCATCAGTTCAGATGCAACACGAAACCTCTGTGATCTGACAACATCACAAAATTCTCCTTGTTGGATGATTCGTAGTATAGTTCTAGCATTTTGCTTAAAACCGAGGCAGATGACAGTGTTTACCTATTTGCCAAATTCATTTCGGGTTGTTTTAGACAGTTTGCACAAACATTGCTTTAGATTCCAAACCCCAATCTGCAAAGTCTATGTAGGGTCCCAACCCATTTCATGTTTTGTTTTTATTTAAACAAAATTCCAATCCAACATTTGCTGTTTCTGGATTTCAAAGCACGATTTTTTAAAAAATAATGATTTAATAGCCATTTATAACCTCAGCTTAACATTTAATGATATATCTGAATTCTTACCGTAATAAGATTTGGGGGGTGGGGGGCAAAGGGAACCAGTTAGGAAAAGTCATTCTCTTCCCTATTTGATATTAACATCTTTCACTTGCATAATCTCACAAGCAGAATGATAAAAATAGTGAATGATAAATCAAGGAATTCAGTTCATGCTATTAGCTGTAGCTCAACCTTTTTCTCTTCCGAAATAACTCACTGACCTAAATCAACCTTTTTACTTTGTGACAATATTTCCACTACTTAGTCTTAACCTGGTTTTGAAAGAAGTGTCATTGATTAACCTTGATAATGGGTATTTGCTTTCCTGTTCTTTGAGAGAATTAACTATTCTTTTCACCAATTGCTGCAGGAAGCAGTTTGAGGAGATGGCAGATCTTTTTCATAAAGCTCCTGTGGAAGAATTTGCGAAGCACATCACTCAAACTACATCAGAAGAAAGGCAGAAAATGTTAAAAGAATTTTACAGTGCAAAATATCCAGAGTTAAAAGATGTTTTAAAAGTTCATGTCCCAGATCCTGTTTCAGAAGGAAATGGAGAAGGCAGCAAATATAAAAGCAAGTTTAGGAAAAAATCCTCCATTTGTAACCATGGGCAATTGAAGCCTGATCTTCCTATAAAGCCTGATCTTCTTATAAATCTGGGAGTTCCAGGTAGATCTGATGCTGAAGAAAAACAACTTCAGTATAAGCTTTCTGTACAGGCTCCTGGGGGTCAAAACGGGGAAGATAAACAATTGCCAGCTGATATTCTCGAAGACAGCATTAATGGGAGAAACAGTCAGGCATCCAAAGACTTTATGGCATCTGAGTCACCAGCCGGTAAATCAAGAATAATTGAGGGGCTGTCTGCATGGAGTTCTAAAGGACAGCTGAATTTGAAGGGGACACTGTCACCCAAAAAACGTCTTATGTCTGACTCAGAAAGCAGACAGGCTGAAATCTGCCAGAAAAAAGCTGTTGCAGACTTGCTAGGAGACACCTCCATTTTAAATGACCTCTTCAAAAGTAATGAAAATAGTCCAGCCGAGATACCCAGGAGGCCTCTTAATGGGCCTGCCGAAAAAGCAGCAACTCGACAAAAAGATTTCTGGGACATGCTGAATGAAGAGAATGAGGAGTGTCTCCAAAGACTCACAGATGTGACAGCCATAGAGAAACTGTGTGAAAGAGCATCTTTCACTTCTTTGTTCAAAGAGAAAGAAGAGAGTGAGGAATCCCTTTGGAAGGAAAATGACAATTTCTTATGGAAAATAGATAAGAAACCTGACACAGATGATGATTTTTTTTCTGGTATTTAATGTGGAATTTAAATATTGAGGGGAAAAAGATTTAAAAAAAAAATCCTTGTGTTACATTTTATTCCCATAACTGACTTGATGCACTTGATTAATTTAAGTTAAATTAAACAGCTTAACTCATTTCAAGCTTTTTTAAAAAAATAAAAAAATAAAAATTCAAGGATACCTTTTTTCAGAAATCTTACAAAGAATACATATTTATTTAATTTTGAGCCGTTTTCTATCTGTTTTAAGGAAGTTGCAAGAAAGAAAAGGACAAGTTTTTAAAAAGAATTGGAAAAAAATCAGAAACATTGAGTGAGGGCATTTTCTTCCTTATTTTCTGTTTTCTCAATGGGGACTGGAACAAGTACATTTGAAAGGCTCAACAGCCTTTCTGCACATTTGCAAAAGGCAAGTGAGTCACTTGATCACTCTGAAGGGAATCAATTTTGTTCCAAATTCAAATTGGCAATCCAGTTTCAAAAGTTTATTCGATGTGGAGATTTTACCAATTTGCTTCAAAATTTCCCCTTGTCTGCAAAGTATTATCCTTCCCTGTGGGAAAAAGCAGCATCTTGAGGTTNCCTTTGCATGCAAGCTCTGAGGTCGACCACATTCCTCTCTTTCTACTTAAATAAGTTACATGTATTTTTATCATGTATTTAGTGTGGTCAGGGCACAACAGATACTATAGTGTCATGTAATGAAAAACTATACTTTTTAAAATTGTTCATGCTCTGGTGATGTTTGGATCATAGGGGTTTCTATTACATTTCTGAAGCAATTGAAAACTCAATTGGGACTACATTGAAAAACAATATAGGCTTGGACTGAGAATAAAAGCAAAGTAATCTGTAAAAACCTGGAAATTGGGGGCTTATGTACCAATTAAGTCTTGCTTAGGATAGATTCATCAAAATAATGGAACCTTGACATTTAAATTCCAATTTTTCTGTAGGTCTTTCCCTGAGCATTATTAAATTTGGATACAACTCAAAGTGTTTTGAAAGTACTCAGTGAATTAGAAGAGATAGTTGTACTCTACAACTTGTAAGACAGAGAAATTCCACTGCAATGATCTACATTGCAATATAGGACTGCAGTGCATGAATTAGTATTTTTACCTATTTAATACTAAAATGACCTATGTATGAAATGTATGATAACATCCCGTTGTCAGTTTTTATTTAAAAAAATAAATTATGTTTTAATCAAATAAATTTAAAAGGCTTGCTTTTTTTAAAAAAAGGAAGAATTTTAATGTCTGAAATTAATAATTATGTGTGGGATATCTTCTTGGGCCATATGAATTCTGGATGTTACAATTTTACTCATCTTAAAAAGACAAATCTTTCATAATGTACTATATTCATCTATTTTTAATTATTTGAAATCTGTGGTAATATAGGCTACAATGCCTCACTGAAATAAGGTAATATAGGCTACAATGCCTCACTGAAATAAGTAAAATGATTGTAAAATGAGTTCAATACAGAATTTTTACAGTTCAGCAAAAATCACACTATGATATTGGCTATTTTACCTATAAACAATTCTGTGTGTATATACTTTAAATTATTTTAAACATTGCCTAACTGCATTTCACCAAAACCGGTACCTATGTGGTTGTGACAGATTATTAAAAGATGATTAGGAAACTTCAAGTTGGATAATATTATTGTAAACCATCCATTTGAAAATAAAAATGTTTCTTGCTTAGAGCTGAAAGTGTAATTGTGTGTCCCCATGAAATCTCTAAAATGTTTGATTCTTCTTTCAATCTACATGATAAAACTGTTTAAAAAATATCCCTTGCAATTTAAGTATAAATTAGATAAACCGGTGACCCCTTGGGCCATCCTTTAAGATATTTCCTTACCAGGTTCCTCAATGCCTTCAGCAATGACAGACCTTTTAATGTATTGCCTTCACTAGCAAAATTGGGATATATTCAGAAATGTATGTCTTGAAAATACGTTGAACTGTATAACCTGATCAGATATCAGCACAAGAAATGTTTTATGGATATTTTGCATTATGTCATAAACCATTTTATAATAATGTTTAATGCCCTAAAATGTTTTATAAAATTTGCCAAATTTCAATACCACAGGAGTTATGGGTCCCACATTTTGGACACATTCTCTATATTAGCCAGTTTGAGGTACCTTGGTTAAAAAATTGTTGGCCTATGATGCACTGTTTTACCAAGTTAAAGCTTAGGGGAATGAGAGTTTTACTAGTATATAGATAGATAGGTTTCCTTTGGGAAAATAAATTGCATTAAATTACATAAACATTGAGAGAAAGTACATTAAA